GTTATTTTCCTGGAATGAGGCCATCCTGGGGCCTGGTGAGGCCCACTGCTGCCTTGCGAGCAGCCTCCTCCCTGGCACCCTGGGCCACCCTCCATGGAGCCCAGCTGGCAGGAGCCCTGTGCTAAGCTTGCTTCAGCTTGAACTTGTCTGGGCATCCCCTGAATCCCTGCTTCCTCTGCTGTCAGCACCCACACACTGGAAGCAGTCAATACTGGCTGGCTTTGACCTGCCCCAGGGGTAAGCTGTCCCCCTCATCGGCCTTTTCCCCATGCTGCATCTCCCAACTGGCATGCATCCTCTGCCTGGTTCCCACACTGGCTAAAGCAGCCATGGAAGATGAAGTTTCCCTACCACCCTTCCCTGCTGGTCCCATCTCAGCCACTGAATCTTTGGGCCATGACTCTCTGCCATGGGTTCAGACAGAATGGCTCTGAGCTAGGGAAGCTCAGGCTTAAAACCCTTTTCCAAGTCCTCTATGACAAATAACACTGTTACTCAAGCCCCTTCCTGGGATCAGGGCAGCAACCAAGGATAAGCACCCTCTTCCCTACCCTCTCAGTCAAATCCTTGCATCTTCCATCACCCAACCAATAAATGTATTTGTGGCCAGGGTACCACCGACTGTGAAGGCCCCAGGCCTTGTCCACCTCTGCTCCAAGAGTCTGCCCCACTACGCTGGACTGAGCCAAGCTCTACTCGTTTAAGCAAAGCAGCATCATTTTAATACTACTCTGAAAGTCCTTCTTCCAAGTAGAAAGGCGCAGGTTCAGGATGCTTTGTCTTTAGGATCAACAAGTTGTCTGCCATACGGATTCAGGAAGTTTTGGGAACTTCCTGTCACTAGATACTTGTCACTTTGCAGTCACCCTTCTCTAAATGCTTCTTACTTGTACAGCTACCAACATCACTCCTTCTAAAACGTAACCATGGGTAGGACTTAGTTTCTCCAAAAAAGTAAAGAGGTACTGCTCCCAAGCTAAGTACCTGAAGGAAAGCTTAAAATACTGTATTGAGTATATTTACAGAAGAACTTAAATTAAGCTCAGAAACAGGCGACTACTCCTTCTCCCCACTCAGGGGATCCCTTTGTTGACAAGCTCCTCCAGGACAGTTCTCACATCCACAGTTCAGCAGCAACTGTTGCTATTTATTCCTAATTCCTGCTTACCTTTAATCAATTTTACTTTTTTTTTTTTTTAAAACCATCCATTTGTATCTGGTTTTTCCTATTCCCTATTAACGCCTTTTCTCTATTAGTCTGTACCTTTCACAAACTCTTGCAATAAATGCCACGCCTTTGGCCACTTTCACGCCTTTACACTTCGATCCTTAATTTGCCCTCTACTATGTGTATCCACAAGCAGATCAGAACCACTGGCAGTACATCCCAGCTATGGAGCTCAAGGGCCCCAAGGCTGAGGTTCCTTGGAAGACGAGTTAGCCTCCCCCCGTTCTGCCAAGGACTCCCCCCGCCCTGCCCCGCCGATCGGGTCTGGCGATGCCCAGAGACTGCAAACGTTTCACCTGCATCATGCGCTCCGTGACTGAAGAAGCGGAGGTGCTTCACAATAACTACAACCGATAAAACAGTAACTTGCGCTTTTTTAATGAAACGGAACAAAAAGCATTCTAAATGATAGCAGCTCATAGATCAAAACTGTCCGTGGGTTAGGAGCGTAGTGTAATTAAGGACGAAAACTGCGAAATATTAAAGCCCTGCAGCAATTCAAATCCATGACAAAGCCTTCACGCAGAGCGAGCGGTGCTGCCCGACGCTCTACTGATTTGGTCTGTTTGTTCACTGGTGAAGTAAGAATTCTCTTCCTTGGCAATGGCATACCCTCTTTTCCCCAGGGGAGGAAAGGTGCAAAGCCCTCTCGATGATTTCCCTAGTTAGCAATGTTCTTTTACAGCACTGAGAAACGAGGACTTTTTGTTTACCATTAGTTGAGGTAAGTTATCTTGCTTTTATTTGGGTTTAAGACTACTGTAAAGGAGTAGCTTTTCAGTTGCAGCATAGTTTGTCAAGATTACAATATTTATGACTGCATAAAATACATAAGTAAAAAATTATGATTTGTAGAGTTTGTTATCAAGAGCTGAGACTTACATCTGTACAGAACTGCAAATACTGGCTCCCTAACTGCTAGTCGATAATTTTGCTGGCAAGAGCATTTGTTACGCTGTTCTTTCATCTCTGTACCCTTTTGTCCAGCTGGTGTCAGAACTAGCAAGAAAGTCACCGGTAACTATGGTTAAACCGTTGTAACAGCGTTAGAGGAGCTGTACTGACTCTTCACCGAAACACCCTTCGTTTGAAGCTACAACGGAAGAGGCAATTCTTTTTGTTCAAAAGAAACTAGTAGCATGCTCTGCGCCTTTAACACGTCACATCGATTACAAAAAATTTAACAATGCAATCACTAACATACCCCACTAATGAGAAATGATGAGAAATTGTTTGATACAGGACCTTCTGCATCAGTCAACTCTGATCGATAAGAAAGCTATCAATTTTGAAATTTAGATTTAATGCATTTTCAAGAAGCTAATGAGAAAGGAGCAACTTAAAATAAATACCATCATTAAAACTGCAAACTGTTACAATGATATATTATAAACTTGTCCTAAATAAACCTAGTGCTTCAAAAATTTACCAGTGAATTCGTATTACAAAATATGTGAAAATACAATAGAATACCACAAAACAACGTTCTTTTTTGGGGGTCGACAATGAAGCCAGGATGATTCAGTCTTAACTTTTTCAGCTGTTAATAGAACATACTGTAATATATAAGTTGCGATTTGGTTGAATTATAGAGAATATCCCCACCCAAACTCAAATTCACCTTTTTCATTCCTCCTCTAAAACTAGTGCCAAACTTCCCGTCAAAGCCGGTATTTTCTTCAAGAGCTTTAAAGTTTAGCCATTACTTATTTTCTACTACTACATTTTGGCAGCAACTATTTATTGGTCTGTTATTGCAAAAAGTGCAATTTAACAATAAACCAGTCTGAAGGTCATTTTATGTCTTGAGGATACATACCATATATTTCTTTAAAAATAATCATACTTTTGTAAGCAATACTTTACAGTAGACACCTCAAATCTACCATAGATGTAAAACTTAAACCGAGAAAAATTTAGTCTCTAAATCTTTATACACATATTTATATTCGAGTTTCTATATATATTATATATATACACAAGCACAAGAGTATATATAAAATATATATAATCAGATTCAAAAAAGAACAAAACTGGGCACTGTACATAAAATCTTTTTAAAACTCAAACAATAGAAAAACTTTAAACATTAAACAATTTTAATAAAAGTTTCTGTACAATGCTAAGCAGTTTTATTTACATATAGAAAATGTAATAGGAGTAGTGTTTGAAATTACAGAACTCCTTAAAATTTCAATGGCAGGTAATCTGGAAAAAATAACAGCATTCCATTCACAAATATTTTCAAGCAATAAATATGTATTTATAAATAGTGTAAATTTACATCAAGATTAGAAACAAAAATCACAAATCTGAAGTTTATTCCTTAGTCTATGTGCAACCCATTTATCTTTGTGACTTGGCTGTTAATTGTTTTAAATTTTATTTAGGAACCAAAAGTGTAACCGTCGTGGTTTCAAAACAAGACAGAAAAACATAAAAGCAGTAAAAAATTTATATCACCTAACTCTTCACATTAAAAAAAAAAAAAAAAGTTGCCCAAAGAAAGACTTAAAATTTCTAACTACCTTACAAAGAAATGACCAGCTAAGCTAGTACTTTTTCCAAGGGAAATTCTGAAGGGGAAAAATGGATGAAACCAACTCATCAGCCCAGAAACAGAGAAATACAAAAGAGGTGGTCTTCAAGTCAGTAGTCTGTATAATGTTGCCAGTTTTGTCAGATATATACAAAACATGGAATTATTTTTTTTGAAGTACAGCTGGATGAGCTTTATTTGTTTTGAGTTCTGGAGTAGGAGGCAGTGCTCTCTCCTGTCCAGTTGGTTGACACTCCGCACTTGGAAGGTTGCATAGACACAGCTTTCAGCCAGCAGCCTTACGGGATAGCTACAAAAATCAGTGGTGCAGAACTGGGTCACTTCCTGAATATCAGAAAAGTTTTCATTTAATGTCCATGAAAAAATGTCAAGATGAGGAGGATGGCAATGGAGGAGCCTGAAAAAGAAAACATTAAATTACCTTTTCTACAAGGGTGTAAAACTCAGCTGCTTTACTGAGACCTGCACCAATCGCAACCATGAGAGTTCAAAGTCGCACGCGCTACTGTTTTTACACTTCAGGACTCTTCCAAGTGGACACTGGCATTTTTTTCCAGCTTCCTCAAAGATAGCGTGTTATTTTACGACTACTCTGCATTAGGGTTCTGCCTACACTGCAGGCTGGAGTATGCTGTGGGGATGTCTGTGTTCATACGATGGCAGCTGCCAAAACAAGTCCCATTGCGGCAGCAGAGCGCTCCATGTGGGCTCAGTACAGATACAACTTTATATACTCTAAAACAGGGATTCTCAACCTGTTTACCAGTGGGGAGAGATTGTCAACTTGTGACTTTCCAAATGCTCTGCAGGCTTCAATTTTTTCCCCTCCACCCCCCCTAAATATTCACACGTAACTCCAAAGTTCAGTTATCTGTGGAAAGGGTCTCAGACTCTCTGACACAGGGACAAAGTTGGTGTTTGGGTTTTTTTTTAAATCCTGGAAGACAATACCTGAGTGCCTCGAGACTCGAGTGAGCTAGGTGCCTTGTTCCCGCCTGCTTTCAGGAGACAGGATCTGGAAGACCCCTAACTCTTTCGTAATACTGCACTTCGTGGCATTACCATCAACATACTGAATTCTTTGCTGGCATTTTCTTCTCTTTTCCTGCTCATCAGTCCTGTCATGATGTGGAATCCCTTCAAGAAGCTGCTCACAGTCTTTAAAGAAACTTTAAATCATACCCTAGTATGATTTATACCCATAAATAGTATGATTTATACCCACATCGTATCCGCCTACGAAACACTAACACTAGCTGATCCCCCTGTTTGCTCCCAATACTTTACCCCAAACGCAGAGCCTCTCTGACAGGCCTACTGCACCTCTGCCACCTGAGATTATCTCCATCCTGAGCCTTGCAATAAACCTGAACTCTTCTCCTAGACCTGAGAGGTGTCACTTTCAGGCTATGACTCTTCAGTGGAGGCTGTGCCTCCTTTAGAAGAAATGGAGGCGCTCACAAGAGGACAATTACTAACGCCCTACAGGGCTGCAGGCATGGGCTTGGGTGGGGGAGGGAGCTACTCACAGGTTGAGAACCCTTGTTCTAGGGACAGTACCACTGTGACTTATATAATGTTATAAACACAGACCACAAAATCTCTCTCCCTCCTTCCTCTTTTCCATAAATATTCTTGCCCATCTCCACTCAACTGGATGACGTATCTGGGAACGGGTGTTTGTTTACATGCTTTTCTATTAACAGATCATCACTTTGAAACTGCAGTTATTTCACAAACTGTAATGACAATGAGCTCCTACAAGAATGAACTGAAGTTCAACCACCTCGGGCTCTGTAGGACCAATGAAGGTAATTAAATTCAGAGGACATGGTCCTGCGCTCTCGCCAGCCTCTAGCGCTTAACCTGAGGCCTTAGCTCAGAAGGTCCCACGTTACCATGCTGGCATTACAGGAAATAATTGTCCAAACACATTTTCTGCAGCACCTGGAAACGAACGAAAAAGCACAGCCATTTCTGGGCTGTTGTATGTAATGCAACATGAAATTCTCATAACGCTCAGTCCAACGTTTGTCTCCTTCGACAGAAAGGCAAGGCTTATCAATAAATCCAGCATCGCTTTCATTCTGTTTACAAACAAGCCATCTTTGCCTGAAACAACGAAACCTGGGTGAAATGTTAGGACAGTTGTGCTGACACAGTTCAAAGCAGGAGGCTGCCATATATAGCACAAAGCTATAATGGCAAAGAGGCTTTTTGCTTTAAATTGAAATGCAAAGGAGGCCCCAAGCCAAAAGACAGAACTGTTGAAGAGCATCCACTTGCTAAGCAGAAGGACAGTGCTGATTTGGGAGGGGGTGGGTGGGGAGAGGGAAGGGAGGGGTCTGAGTGCATAGGATGCTCTGCTGCTATACTGACTTCATACCACAACCAATGTATTAGAGATGCTCTTGAACCTGGTGCTAGTTTCTCCAAGCTTCACTGTCCTGATTCTTCCCATCTCCATCTGATCCAGTTATGGTCTTCAGGTGATCTCTATTGGATTTTTAAAGCCACAACTTTATGAATTGTAACATCATACTTTTCCTGAAAACTCAGTGGTTATGTTCTGCAGTAAGTTACTGTACTATTGCACATAACTGTGACTCTTCAGAGTTCTGTTCTGTTAATATCACACACAACCCATACCTCCACCTGAATCAGAAAGTCCACGGTACTCATACAACGGAGTACCAAGACAGTCTACAACTGCTTTACAAATCACGTATTTAGGCACCCACTTATTAATTGGACTTACTAATGTAAATTGATCATAGACTTGCATCAAGTCCTCCATTTTGTACTGTTCTAGCACCACAAAATTTTCCAGGTTCGTGCTTATCTTTCGTGCACAGTCTTGGCAATGTACAACATAGGTCTTTCGAGAATTGCTCTCACTAGTGACAAAAAGCAGATCAAAGACTTCCACCTAGTAGACAGGAAACAGAAAGCCAACTGTTACCATTTCACATTTTAAAAGTTCAAACACGAAAACTTTATTTTCCTCAAGATTTAGAACCTTATCCTGTGCATGCAAAGAGAAAAATTACATTTGTTCAGGGAGAACTATCCTGTGAAGGCTCAGGCAGAGAAGTGAAATACTGTGAAACCACCAAGGCTACACTTAGGATGTCTGCATGAACAGTGTTACGGGAAAGCTGTTGGTCAACACTGACAAAGCAGGACTTGTACTCTGAACAGGGGCTGGTTGCTCAGTAAGGTGGGGATGTGTAACAATCATACCTAATTTGCCTTTTTAAAATTTCTCTGCGAAACAAGTTTGTGATTTATTTCCTTACTAGTCAGTCACATGCTCATCCTGTCCAAGAGGCTCAGTCAGAAAATGACTAGAAACTGATTTTCAGGGGGTAGGAAAATTCTGTTTTCTTTTAAGCTTCATGAAAACTATTACCCAATACTTTAAAGAAACCATTAACAGAAAGTAGAATAAAAAAAATTCAGCAAAAATGTATGTCCTGTCAAGAAAATGTACTTAAATTTTCTCTCTTTTGGGGCTGTTGTTGACTTCAGAAATGAAGACAGATACACCTTTAAAATGAAGCTCAGCAGATCAAATTATATGCAGGAAGGGGTAACAACTTTTTATAATAACTGAGAATTGAAAATCGACCTAGTGAATAACACGGCTGTGGAAGAGACTGCACCAAAACACAGCCTATGTCTAGAAAAACAGCGCGATAAGCTCTCTGAAGACAGTGCTTATAGCATGTAATAGATGCTGCCCCTTAAAAGCCAAATTAAAACGGCAACAACAACAAAAGACGGGACAAAATTTAAATGAATATTCTAGTAGTACACAAGCCCCACACGTAATTTTACTGACCTCACAAATGCTACAGTAATGAGCTGGCTCGTCCTTTGCTCGCCCATGCCAGACAATCTCTTTTCCTGCAGCAATCAGAGCTTCCCTCAGTGTCTGACACTGTTTGAGAGTTCTTAACAGGCAGTACCTGCAACAAAAACCAGTTGGGTGTTCAGTTCAATATGCAACTTTATAGCAAGATTCAAGTAGGCTTAGATTGCTTCCACGACCCTGTACCTGGAGTTTTCTCTTCCCCCAGGAGTTCATAAATAGCTGGCTAATAAGAACCACTGGACTCATGACTTGGGTAGAAGTGAGACCACGTGCTTACAAACCTCTGTGTAGATCCGTTCCATGTTGGTGCTGCCCCGTGCCCTGCAAACAGGCTCCATCTTTCATTTTTTGTTGGAACACACAAGTGCTTTTAAGCACAACAAAACAATGTGCTTTCAAAAGCAATACCTGTATTTTATTTTGAACTATCAATTTTTCAGCAGAACGTCAGTTTGAACTGCCAACGTCAAAACAAGCTTACATTTTGTGTAAATAGGTACAGCCTAATCCAAAGAACTGTTTTAAATAACATCCTAAAAAACCTGTGACTCCCTCAGCACCTACTCAACTTTCAGTCATCTACGTCTGAAAACCTAGGTTCTGACAGGAATGACCCTACATACAGTGGATATAAAAATCTATCAACAAGCATCTTCGTGTAAAAAGAAAAAAAATAGACAGGTTGGCATTAGAAAAGGAAGTCCCTTCATTGGAGGAAAAAATAAAATAAAAATAAAAAAATTAAATTTTCATCCTCATTTTATAAATGAACAAAAGATCTGGTCAAAATGTCAGATTAAAATCAAAAATTCCCTGCCATACTTCTTTAAAGGATAAGAATAATTAATATAATTTTACTTTCACAATTTTATACAGTTCTGTACTAGAAAATGTGACTTGTTGTCTAGCACTGCATGAACCACATGTATCTCTAAAGGAAAGTTGGCAAAACATGTCACCAGATTTCTAAATTACAATGTTATTTACAATAATTTTTAGCTCTCAGCTATCCTATTTATTTGAGCTGCAACGTTTGTAGCCTTTCATTTTCTCCTCCACAGGGTGGTTACGTTACATGCTCATTAGATGCAGAAGGAAGATTGAAAAAAATTTAGGGGAAGAATAAACATTGGACAGAAAACAAAGTGCTCAAGGGTTCCATCAAAATGTTTTCAACCTGAACCTTCTCCCCTTTTAAAGCCTTAAACATGTAATATATACGTTCTATACTTTTTTTTTTTTAAAAAAATGTTTCTTTCATGTGTTTCCAAGTGGTTAACAGAATCTCAGGCTTACTTTGAGATACCCTCCCCTTGATATTTTACCCTCAGATTGCTCATCTTCACTAAAACAAATCTATGGCTTCATTAATAGCCTCACTGTAAGAATAATGCAAAACGGAGAGTGTATTTTCATGTACCAAATTTCAAGAAAATGAAACAGCTCATTTAGCTGTAACTCCTTCAACATTTTTGAAGTTTGATGTTAGTGGAACTTAGGATGCTAAGGCCAACCACATGTGATAGATCATGCATTAATTCACTTGGGCATCAGGGCTTCCGACGGCCTCAGTAACTCTGGCAAAGCACTCTTTTATGCAGCACAGCCTGATTTCACATAAACTTAAAAGCTACCATTCTTTCCTTCTGCTGTTACCTGGAAGTCTTTGGGTATGCTTTGGGAAGCATGTCTGCACACCTGCCATCACTCTTCTCCACTCCTGACTCCCAAAGAATTTTCAAAGAGTTTTCTAGTCTTTCAGTTGTGAAAAGAGAACTGCCCAAAATGCAACCCACATATAACACCACCGCAGTATTTGCAATCACAGCCAAAAACAATAGCTAGAAGGTGAATTCCCCCCTCCTTGGATAAAATTCAGATCCTAGTAATGGCACTTGAAAATGTAAACATTAATTAACTTTTTAATGCTGTCAAAGAATGGGAGAAAGCCTACAAACTATCACTCTGAAGATGCACCACAATTTTCTGAAGTTTGGGAAGCCTAAAGAAAGCTAAAAAGGTGTCTAGCAGAGTCACAATGTAGGTGTTAAGTGTCAGCTTTTACTATTGTAGGCCTGCTTTTACTCTTGTACAGTGAGAATTCAGTTAAAAGAAAATCTGGACCATGTACCTCTCTCAAATTCTTTGCAGATATGGCATAGAGCGTGAGTAAATCATGTCCAGTCAAATATTTAAGAGAGTAAGATTTTAAAATAGACATCATCCTGATTTATTCTAGAAGGGCAGCGAGAAACCTGGCTGAATATTTAGATAGCCAATAAAACATTTTGACGGGTGGTGACCATCCCAATGGCAATGCAAAACTGACCCCTCTGGTTCTTTCAGCACTTCATCTTCCTTACTGATACTAAATTCCATTGTATCACACTTCACTATTCTGTGCAAAATCATTTCTCCCATGTCATGTTCTTTTATGTTTCTAAAACTATTTTTATATAAGAACTCAGTATTTCAGTTACTTTGAAATTAATTTTTAAAGCCTTTATCACTCTGTTCCCACCACCTCTACAATTCTTCTCTTCCTCACATGCAATTCCTCACATTGTAAAAGTCCTTCTAGCTTCCACCCAAGAGGCTGGCGGTTGATTTTTCCATTCTTCAGCCCTGCGCTCCCTCTGTTAAGTTTTAAATCATTTTGCCTGCCTGTGTTCCTGCTCATGATTCTACTGTTGATATCGAATCTTTAAAAAATATCTCATGGTAAAGTTTCAGTTTTTGCTCTTTGGCCTTTGATCTAGCAAGACAGCACCGATTTGTACATTAAGTAAAAATATAAGGAGGCTTCAGATGTCTTCCAAAAGCAAAACTGCCTTCTATTAATTTTTCTCTACTGCTATCCTACTTCTTTTCATCATTAATTTGGTTCCCAATATTTATATGTATGCTTACATTTTAGTTTAATGCCTCTGTAGCAGTTACTCTCACATAACCCAGTAAGACATGTTTGTATTTATCTTTCAAATTGGAATTACAAACTCCTTTTAATCATTTTCCAAGTGCTATTCTTTTGTACTATTCTGATACTTAAGAAGCCCCAGAGACAGAACTGAAACCACCTCAACACTTTAGATACCTCTGCCGTGCAATTTTAGATAAAGACCTGCATTTTGGCAAGAAGATGACAGTTGAGCCACTTATATTTTTTTTCCCTGATGCCAAATGAAAAGTCAGCTATTCAAGATGAAATCCAACCAGAAATCACAATTTCTCAACTGTTTTTATACACATGCATACACACCTATACATATAAACACAAAAATGTCTGTGTTTTGTACATAATAAAATCCAGAAGCAGTGGGTAACAGCTACTTCCCAGCTGCTGCTGTTTTCCTGCAGACAAGCAGTCCGTAGGGAAATTAAGCAACTGCCTTCCTACCTTAAGGAGATTAATTTCCAGTATGCTTACAAAGCCAAGGTCAGATACTAGACTGTGTATTCTAGTGACACCCATTGCCAGTAACAACTATACCCTAACTACAGAAGTGACCACAACGAAGAGTTCGTTAACCTCAGGTTACTGCTACCGGAAGTTACAAATCAGAGCTCGTGGTTGGATCTTCTTCCCCTCTGCACACAGATCATGGAACTTGGGATCTGACTGAAAACTAACTTGGACGGAAGGCTTAATCCAAGTAAACGGGAAATAGTTTCAGTAGACTGGAAAAAGCAAACGAATACAAGACCGAAGAGTTTGCATCTGCTCCTCAGCATCTTCCTTTATTTGTGACATACACCTGAAATTCACGTGTCTCACTAGAAAAATCTCAGCTGCTGTCTGCCAGCAAGACGATGGGAAACTAACGCTTCATCCTCTGTTTCTTCACAACATTTTAAGCAACTGTCTAGGAGAAGGACACTATGCTCAGTCACGTTTTTGTCCTTTAAAGCCTAAATCATGGCAAAATCCCCCAAACTTATACAAATGCAAAATAGAGATGCCAGAATATCGAAATCCTATTTTGCTAAAAACATTCCAGAACTGCTTCGAGTTTTACAAGAGATGCCTGCTGGGCTTGGGGAAGATATATAGAACTAAATGTGAAATAAATTTGTGGTTGTTTTTTAATTTAAATGGACTTTTTTGCTCCCTCCCTCCAACACCCTGCCTCTTTTCTCCCTATTTCTCATTTCTAAATATTCAGTTTCTCCTCCCCCTTTTATAACATCTGGCATCCTGAATATGAGCAACAACAGATTAATTGAAGGGGCAGGACTGTCGAGCCTTTGGCAAACATTTTCTCTTTCCTAGATACTGGTTACTAGATTTTAAGAAAGTATTCACGCATAAATGCTATTCTGAAAGGGAGCTTTACAGTGACTGTGAACCTCCCTCTTTTCAACTTCAACATTCTTGGTCCTTATAAAGTTCCCATTTCACCAATTCCACCATTCTGCAACAGATGTTCAAGTCTAAATTAAATTCCTACTGTAAAAAGTTGTCTCGCTCGGATGTCATCAATAAAGCCTACTGAGGAAAAAAGGAAATTATTTTTCTTTTCCCATTTTTTGCACATTAACACACCCAGTTTTTAAAAGGTCCATTTCAAGGCAAATTATAAAAGGATTCCATGCTTGTGGATCCAGTATGTTGGTAAGACTAAGAAGTGCTCAAGCTAGAAGCTCCTTTGGTAGGCTTAAGGAAAACAGAGAGTGCTGCTACCACAGTATTCTCATGGGGAGTAATTTGCTTTGGAATTCATTCCCTCACTTTCTTTTGGACAAACCTATGATACATGATGAAATGTCCATTCATTCCTCAACCTAGGTATAATGTGCTGCAACGGGATTTACATTCGCTTGATGTTGCACTCACTGAAGAAAATTACTAGGGATGCTCTGGGGTACCTACACAGAAGCTAGGAGGGGACTTTTTACAAGGACCTGTAGTGACAGGACAAGGAGTAATGGGCTTAAATTGAAAACAGGGAGGTTTAGATTAGATATCAGGAAGAAATTCTTCACGGAGAGGGTGGTGAGGCACTGGAACAGGTTGCCCAGAGAAGCTGTGGATGCCCTCTCCCTGGAAGTGTTCAAGGCCAGGCTGGATGTGGCTTTGAGCAACCTGGTCTAGTGGAAGGTGTCCCTGCCCATGGCAGGGGGGTTGGAACTGGATGGGCTTTAATATCCCTTCCAACCCAAAACATTCTGTGATTCTATGAATATTCCTGCATTTTGGAATATGCATATGAGAAATGTCACTAAACTCAATTATCATGTTGCACATCAATTAATTCATTGTTCAGAAGAAAGAGCAATGGCAAGGAGGCTGTCAAACTCCTACCTGCCTTTATTTAAAACATTTATATGGTAGATAAAAAAACCTTTATAGTAGATCTCCAAACAACAGCATGTGAGCAGTCTGCAGTAAAAATGACTAAACATTATAATTCTATTTTGCTTGATGACCTAATTTTGTTATTTCTTATGGTAGGTACTCTGAACAGCCTTTGTCATCTAAGTCAACTATTTCTGTAAACTGCCGTATTAAGTCTATGGCATGTTGAACAAAAAAGGAATTAGATCATTATAAAGCTATGCCACTGTAACATCAAATAAAACATAATAAAATTAATGGCATCTATAAAGAGATTCTTTGAAAAACAAAACAAAAAATAATTTTTGGCTTGATCGTCAGGAATGGAAACATCTTAAAAAGGATTACTTACAAATCAGCTATTGCTTTATGCTTGAAGAGAAAAAGGGTAGACTGAATGTTCAAATAAAACTTACTTTATCATTTCAAAAAGCTTTGGATCTGAGACCTTGATATTTCGAGCCATGTTCCATGAAAGATGAACCATAGGTACTATGGACTTTACGCTCTGCAGTTTATTCCACTCGTACCGTTCCACTGCCAGTTTATATTGACAGGCTATGCAAAAACAAAATTACAGAAGCAATTAGTCAAGTTAAGAAATAAGTATCAACTGGAGCCAAAACAATTTGATTATAATAAAAATGTATACCTTTCAGGGCTAGATTAAACTTCATTCGCAATGACCCAGTCATTCCAAATACACCGGAATTTATGCAATTTCTTTTTAAAAGTGTATTTATGATGCTAGAAGAACACCCAATACCAGAGCAGCCACAACTATCTGTGAAAACAACCTACTGACAAGTATTCCAATTTCTATGGTGAAAACAGAGCAATATTCCAAAAAGGGTTACTTAATAAATTTCAAAATCTTTCAGATTACAAAAAAAATATAATCTAAATTTGAAACGTCTGCATCTCACTATTCAATCTTAATTGTACAACGCTATGGTGTACGATCTGTCTTGAAAAGGAAGACTGTACCTCGAGAGATTTGTTGCAATGATTCAGACTTTTCCATTAAGCAGCCTACTCCCCCCGCCCTTTTGCAAAAAAACTTTTTACAAAAATTACTGCAATGGAACACGTGAGCTCTGTATCAGTCAATCTTACAATCCCAGAGATAGGCTATTTTTTGCACCTTAATGAAATAAAGACACACCTTAAACTATTTAAGAAAATGGGACTTTTTCTGAAAGTACATTCTCTTCAAACGCCTGACAGAATCTCAGTTTAAATGTGAAATTTCCTTCCATCCTCACATCTAAAAACCTTCCAAGACCACGGTTGAAAACTAAAGATTTCTAAAGCGGTAGGTCTGGAAAAGCTAATATTCCTTTATGGACAAAATTTGACAACTGTTTGCATTTCCTGATGCCTTCACTGAAGAGCAATTCGGTATCAGTTGTCCAAAAAAATTAGATCGGACAAGTCCTTAATCTCTCACACAAACTATAGTGCAGTCTGCTGGGTAGAACAAATCTTGGGAGAAAAAGTTAAGAAATGGCCTACAAGACAGCTTATGACTTAATATAAACACTTTAGTTTATATTTAATGCTAGTCTTGGCTACACAACTGTAATTTTTACAAGTCTGTTAAATGGATGAGTGCAAAAACTGCATTCTTGCCACCTCCTCTTCCTCTTGCCACCTCCTCTTCCTCTTGCCAATGGCATTATTTAAAGCTTCAACACGTTTTAAAATACAGTACTTGGATTTTTTTTTTTTAATCCAGTAAAGCACGGTGCTTTAGTAGGAAACGGCGGGCTCTGTGGCATATGTAGTACAGTATTGCCCAATTTCATAGCTCCGCACCGGCACTTTCAGCCATACCTGTCAGAGGGCCAACATTCCACGCGATGTTGTTGCACCAACCGATAGCCTGGACCCAATGAACTGTGCCAGCGTTTATCCACACCAAATCCCCTGGTCTTTGAATAAACCTATAAACTGGGACGTTGGCTTCATACAGATCTTCCAAGTTTGGCCACCAAGATCCCATTAGGAAATTCATATTATTCCTGAAACAACAGAAGAAAAAGTCTTCAGCATTTACCAGCAGACATCCTGGTGGTTGATACTTCAATTGCATTACCTGTAAAAACTGATCACCACGCTATGTGCTTTCTGCATCTAACCAGTAACCCAGGAGGACCAGTCAAAAGGAAAGTGTCATCTATACAATTCCTGATCCTAACTCCACATTTCACATCCTGCAATACATTAAAACACTTCGCCATCTGGCTGTCCATCTGAAGTCAGTTTATGGCTTCCAGTTATGTTCTGTTTTCCTTTATATTTCCCAGTATTTTATTAATGCTGAGGCAGACAAATCCTTGGTCAGACCTAGTGTGACACTGGTGCTGAGCACTGCTTTTTTTAACCAGTGACTCATATTATAAACAGACCACACCAGCCCTTCAGAATGCTTTCTGTCTGAACAGTGCCAACCGCGTACTTGTACTGTCAGTGCACGTGTGTAAAGCCTGTCCACACAGCAAGCAACCTGTTGGCACCATCTCAACTGCAATCCACAGGTCTATGCTATGTTCAGCCAACGAATATCGACCCTCCTGAGAAGCACAAAAACACCTCCATATGGATTCCTTAAGCACGAACTCTTCCACTGCGGTTATGCCAAATACATCCTTCTCTCCCATCCTTATCCCAATTTTATACTGTTTTTATACTGCATCACGAGAGATCATTCGCAATTTTTTAGTTTTTAAAGCCAATTCACTGCATCTCTCAGACATTCTTTCACGAGGTTACCAAGATCTTAGTTTCTCTGTCACCCTCAGGAAGACAGTGACACGGGGATAAAGATCATCAGAGACATTGCAATGGCGTCACCAGAATTACAACTTTGAGATGGCTCACCTTTGTAAAGGTGGATGAAATAAGAACAGTTGTCAGTAGATAGGCAGAAAATACAGAGTACAGAAACGAATTCGCAGAGCTCTGGAACCAAAGTTCTGAAGTCAAGAGCTTAGTCCACTTTTAACAGGACAAGATAAGAAAAAAAAATCTGCCACAATTGCTCCCCCCCCCCCCTTTTTTGAGGGGGCAGGAGGGAGAGGAGGGTGCCTGTCTGTGTGTGTTTGTCAGTGCACCTCAACTTTTCCAGCTACAAGCATCTAAGTGTATGGAAAGCACACCATGACACCTCCTGGGGTCTGAGTAAATGCAGCTCTCCCTCTAAATAGAGCATGAAACCATGCCAAAATACCAATGACTCTGTACTTGCTTGTATTAACCATAATAAAGATCACCAGGAAAGTATTTACTCCATCACACTAAAAAAAGCCCAAAACAAAACCCCAATTCCTTCATCCCCAACTTTGTTCCATCACTCCACTGTAACAGCCCTCGAAGCCATGACAAGAGCATCACCGACTGGTCATAGCAGAGGTCAGCTTTAACATGCGTGACAGATAAACACCAAGGACTGCGATGGATTTTCTGGTGTGGAAATGTTACTACTATGAAAACCGGATGGATGCCATGTCATACACATTGGTAGCAGACAGCCTATGCTCATACTGAACTTCTGAACCCCTCTTAGTGCAGTGTAAATTTGAATCTTGAACCTAGATGAGCATTTGCTACTACTACTCTCTCACTTCTTGTATTTCCTTCATTCCTGTGTTTGAAAAAATAAATAATAGACCTAATGTTACTTTTTGAGAGCAAAGGTATCACAAGCAATCAAGATTTCTGTACACTGTACAAATATCGTATTTTGTATAAAATGTAGATTTTGCATTTTGACTTATTTAAAAGACTTTCCTGATTACATGGAAAACGCGTAAAATAACGTCCTTTTACAACACGCTCAGTAATTTCCCCCCTTAGGTGTGAAAAAGGAACAGAGAACTTGACAAAAATAGAGGAAAACAGCATGCCCAGCTTACTTTTCACAGAAGTCATTCATGACACCCCAATAGCTTTCAGGGACAACAAACCATTCACAGTCACCTGGACCAATATTTATATTTACTGAACAAAAGTTGTTATTCTCTTGATGACCTGAAATTTAGAGAAAAATAAACACACTTCATACAAGGCTCACCTATCAAAAAGCAAAGTTACAATTACTAAAAAAACCTCTATATCACAGTTTAAGTATTTGTACATACTTTTATATCACACACACACACTATTTAGATGCTTCACAACGTTAAGAAGCGCAATTAAGCTACCAGTGACCAGAGAATTCTTGGAAAACGAAAAGCTGGAACTTCCAATCTTGCAGATCTGACCACCACTTCAGTAGTTTCCTTTTTGGAAAAATAAAGGCCTCAAGATGCTGAAGTTTAGATTTTTGTGCTTTATGATAGCTCTTGACAGTCCCAGTCAGGAGCAAAACTTCATGACTTCAGGCACTGAGTAGACAAGTGGTAAGAAAATCTGTCCCAAAGAGCTTTCAAAATCAATGTAGAAATGCCAGTATTTTATCTTTGTTTGACAATGGGAAAACTGAGCCATAATCCCTAATGAAATTATCTACCGTTGTACTTCAGTAAAAACAGACCCTGAAATTTAGTCCAGATCCCTCAAGTTTCAGTCCAGTGCCCTAACAGAGCACTATTCATTATGGAGAGCTGAGTCCTACCCTCAGACAATAAAGAATCTAAGTGTACTGATTTCTATGATTGCACAAGACCTACCTTGAAAGCCTATAAAAACTTTCAAGGCATGGAAAAGACAAGTACTATCCGAATATATAAACCCATCCTCTTTTTCCCCTTAGAGGATCCAGCCTTGTATGCAAGAAGTCAGTACGGTAATTACCTAGCACTGCAGAAATCCAGAAATGTCCACTACAAGGTAATTTAGTACTTTGTACACGCAGAGCTCAGTGAAACAAGAAAGATAAAAAAATCCTGCATATGTACAGTTTTATCGTATTTATGCATGCTGCAAGACATGGAAAATCTGCAGTGCAGTCAATCAGCACCACAGCAGTAGAACCCGTTTTTCCCATGAGAAGAGATCATACTCACCTGGCGTTCTGCTTCCTGGGACCTTCATGTACAACTGCACTGTGTTCATGCCCAGGATGGTGTGACCAACATGGCTTAGAAGATTTCCTGATGATACCACACGTACAAAAGCAGGAAGTTTTGTCAGTTCATGGAGTTGCAACTTCCACCTGCAGCAAAATAGCAAATCGACAAACTGTGAATCCCTAAAACTCTTGGAAGAGTTTGGGAAATACAAATATTTTCAACAAATCTTTAGCCCAGGAGATAAAGGAGCAGACAACCTACTGCTACATAACTCAGCAGCTCTTAAAGGGGAAATTGAGACAATGCAATACCCTTAGGTTGACAGTTACAGACATTAACAGGACAGTTTCACTCAAGGGTGAGCTTAAGCCAAGGTGACCAGACCCACTCTTGCAGTCAGCCAGTCTGCTGCTACACTGCCAGAAACTTCTCCTTGCAATTTACACCTCGGTGTACGTCTGTTCCTAGCGAAAACAGAGCGGTGCTCTCCCCACACTCGAAGCCAGACAGAAAGCGTTACCCAGGCTTTCAAGAATGAAACTGTATGATGCTACAACACAGGTCAAGATGACTGTCTAAACATACATCAGCCTCTGCACACGACTCTTGTGACCGAGAATGAAGTTAACTACGGGCATGTGCCACAGAACTGAATTACTTGGAGTAAGAAATACAGATCTTCAAACACTAAAATCTCTGAACTTGGGCATGGAGCTCTGTTGTGTCACCCAGGAATCTGTGCTATTCTTTCAATTTGAAAACATTTCCAAATAATCACAAATCTGACAGGCTAGTTAAGGGGAAAGACAGTTTTGTACCAAAAGGTGAGTCTGCCGATCAGAAGGTCTGGCATCCACCTGGGATCCTACAAGAAGTATTTAAAGTATGAACATCCAAATCCCTGTGAGCCTTGCGTTAGTTAGGTTAACTGAAAGTCTCTCTCCCAGTGGTCTGCCCTGCGTGCTAGTTTATCAGCAACAATTCTGTGTCTGCAGATGAAATTTTCTTTAGAAAAAATTGCATCAATATTTACAGTTTTCTAACAATCTCTAACCACATACATATATACACACATTGATCCTTCAGTGACTACAGCCCAGAAGACTTCAGCATCTTCAGTGGGCCTTATTCCCCAGCTTCAAACACCATAACCTTTTCTTCTACTCTAATGACTGAAGTAAATCAGAATTTTTGTACAGCACCTGGCTTGACTGACAGCTTGGACATGCTGGATCTTTTCTGGAAATATATACTAACTGGAGATTCAAACAAATAAAAGAATTATTACTGGGCAAAAAAAAAAATACACTTTCAGAGTATTTCTAACACTTTCGGATATTCTTCTGAGCTACCTTCACCTACTCACAGAAAGATATGTAGTCTATAGAACAGTCAATTCATTCCTTTTTTTATTTTTTGAGGTTCTAGGGGAGGTTTCATGGCTTATCCACAGGTAAGCACTGGTCTGGTCTTTACTACGTATTTTGAACCCTGCTCTTGGACAGAAAAAGCAAGAGGTATGAAAAAGTGGAAACAAAGTATGACAGTAGGAACAAAAAGGAAAGAAAAATCAAATAACAAAAATCAAGACAAACAAACAAACAAAAATCTTACAATTTCTGTGCAAAGACTGAAAACTTGGTATTGTGAGAAGTTGTAAGCAAACAATTTAAAGCCTCAGAATGAAACAAAGGGAATGTATTAGAAGGAGGACTAGAATGAACAGTTTCTGATGGATGTTTTAAATTCACTTCTGGAAAAATAAAGATACTGGAAAGAAAAGCTTGAGAAGATATTTTAGGGTGAGGAGGACTCGTAACAACAGTTTAAAGACCAGAGGTAACAATTTAATTGTGGAAATGGGGTGTGCAACTGGAATTGCATGTATCGACAGGCTGACTGATGTCTGAGAAGAATGCATTGGTTTTCCAGATGGAGTACTGTACTGTAGAGCACCACTGTGAGCAGGGAAACTGTTATCAACCTACTTTTTGTCATCTGACAGGTCAATGTTGGTCCCAAACTTGATTGTTTTAAAAGGTCCTCTTCTCCTCCTCCCAGAGCTGCACATACAAAAAAATGTAATAGGTGAATGTGAAAATGGGAATGATATAAAAAACCCACATAAAACCAACTACAGACTTGTAATAATTATACCACACTTACTTATCAGAAGATGTGGATTCATTATCTGAGTGGTCCTTGTGGTGACTCTTCTTCTCATTTTCCTCCTATAAAATGCAAATGTGAAAATGTTTGGGTTTTTATATGTATCTCTCTATATAAACATAAAAGTAAGTATATAAAGTATGTAGGTATAAAGGGATAACATGTTCACAGACATAAGTACATTTGTTTCGGTATGCTGGTACAATCTTTAAAATATCTGTATCTAAGACATTATGTGAATATTACCATTAAGAAAATTAACAGGAAAAAAATAGTTGTTAGTCAAAAGCCATTGCAAAAAATTCTTCACAACTACGAACTAGGTGAAGCTTAGGCCAGGACAACAGAAAATGTCTACATGATAAACATTTCTGCTAGCCTACATCAGCATCGTAAATGAGCATGTTGGTTTGCTTCTTCATGCAGGTGAACTGGAATCCAATCCTAAGGAATGCTGTTAACTTTTTTAGACTACAACATTTATCTTCCTTCAAAGTCAAGCAGGTCTCCTGACAGGAAACTAGAATGTCTAATATTTATAAAATTAATTTTATCAAATACATCCTATAAAATATTTTGAATTTTCCACAGCCATATGCTATTTTAGCCCCACAGCAGCTGGGATCATGAGCAGTGGAAAAAGTCTAACCAATATTAAAGTATGTCATTTGATCTTTTTAGCAGAGTGGGTGGAAAACCCTGTTCTAAAGACTTCTTTTTTGGCAAGTATATGGAGACACAGAAGGAAAAAGAGTAAGACAAAAAGGAAGAACGAACTGCCTGGAGGCTATCCAAAGATCTCTGGCTTTGAATGGGATTGTTGTTAAATCTCAGAGTGCCCTATGTACCTGAGAAAGTCTTATTCATCCTTTGAATGAAGGACAAAGGGAAACAAAAAGGAACCCAGTGATGACGGATTTATCAAACACTGCAAGACATGTTGGAAGAGCAATGTAAGAGTGGTTAGAGGAACCAAGAAAAAAACCAGAAAGACCACTTAGGGCAAGCCAGGAGGACTGTGTCTGTAGAAAAAAGAAACAAGGCTTTCATTTCAACACTGTGAAAAGTCACTTAAGGACAGGTCAAAGCAGTGTTAGGCAAAGGACATGCGTACACTTAAACCAATGTCTTCAGGGAAAAATTAAAATCCCCATTCTGAAATTTATTTTATAGATTACATTTTTACAACCAATTTGTAACAGAGAAAGAAAAAAAATCAGAAAATCCTGCAGTTCACTTGGTGCAAAGCCAAAGTTGCTGACAAGCTGGTACGTGATCAGTTACGTGGGTTATTAAACATGTACGTCACTGGAACACTGTATGTATATAATGTTCTCCAGCCTCTCTGGAATGATGTACAAGAACACAACGCTGGTGCAACTGCTCAGTGGGCACCAGAAAACTTCAGCCAATATCCTACTTAAATTTATTACCACTGCAGAAGAAGAAAAAACCTATTTCTGCCCCAAGCTCTTGATGACTTCAGCACTCCCCACTGCTATTCTTGTTTCTTTTCCTCATCCTGTATCAGTCTCCTTCAGAGCCTTGTGACAACCTACGCTTCTCTTCAAGTACCTTTTCATTCCTTTGTTTCTAATAATTTTGTCTAATGCACGAATTTTAAATTTGTAATTTCTCTTTCTTACGCAAACCCTTGCTGTTTCTGTGTAGTGTCAGTGAAAACTGCAATAGTCAATTGCCCGTGTTAGTGTTTTCTCCATTTTCTAATTAACAACTGGTCAAAAATATCTTCCTGTCTTACTTTCACCTCAGCCTAATCTGTTTGTAACACCAGATGAAATAAGGCGCTGAGGAGTACAGATAGCTAATTCCAATGATGTGCTCATTACTTCAGCAAAAACATTAAAAAGTAATACCAATAAAGTAACACTTCAAATATTTCACTCTGGCACGTACGTCCAAAACTTCCAAACCAAACAGAAGCTGTTTGGAACCAAACGATAACGAATATGGAGAGCATCAGTCACTTTTCTGGGAAAAAGTTATTTTAATACTTTAAGCTGCTGAGCTGAAAGACAAGTGTGACCATAAACTTCTAATAAGCCACATTCAAATTAATTCACGTTACTATGAAGAACAAAGAAATCTGATTTCAAAGAGTATGTGGAATTAGAAGCAATACACGTTAAAAAAAGGCATCTTAAGTTCTAAATATTTTAATATGAATTTCAACTTCTTGTTAGCTTAAGCTAACAAACTTTTAAAGGATGTCACAGTCAGGAGTTTTACATTAAGAACATTTTTACATTAACTATCTGGGAGGAACACCCTATATATTATTTGACCCTCTATTCTGAAGAGATTTAGTAAAGTTACCTGTGCTCTTCATGCTACTGGAAAAGTCTCCTTTTCCTTAACAGCTTCTGTTTGTTTTCAACAGCCATTATTAACTGGCTCCAGAGACAGTATACAGTTTGTAAATTATAACTTAAATAATGACAATGGGCTCACCCTTAAAGACTCCTGGAATGAGGAGGCCTGGTACTGTGCATATTTAGCAATCGTCGTATGAGATCTACTGCTTTCACAACGCCAGATTTTCTTTGTTCCAGTGGGGTCCCAGTTTTCATCTGCTGGCTGCAGTAGCTGTGTCCTCACTTCTACTATGTGTTCATTATTTGCTTCTACCAATGTCTTAGTAGAGAAGAGTCCTAGATCTAAATAAATAGGAATAGAATTCATAAATGACAATTAAAATACAATAAAAAGTTTCCAGAAAAGAAGACATTGATACTTAAAAGTTATCTGAAGGTTTAAACTAAAGCAATTACCCTCCCCTCAGCCTTCATAACATGCCCACCTATAGGTTAAAAATTAACGTGTGATTAACATTCAGAAAATTTTTCTGCACACAACAGTAGAAGCTTAGAAAAAAAACTTGGCAGCTACTGTATGGACTATATTCCAAGAATCACTTTACAGGACTTGTGTAAACTAATCTGCAAACAACGTTTAAATCTATTACCAATAAAACATTTTTTGGATTATAGTTTTATGAAAGCACTTCCATTATGTAAGGCATTTCCCACCAGCAGTGACAGCTTTTCGATCTCCAGAGTTCAAAATATTATACACAGTCAGATCACAGATCATTAAATCTAAGCATAAAGACGTGTACAGTCACAGTCTTCACAGGAAAAAAGTCCATCTGTAAGATTCCGTATCCACAGCTCAGCTCCTCCCTGTGCTCAACAAAATCTGCTGGATTTGGGGCTGGGCTTTTTTTGGAGATGATCGAGATTAGAAACAGTAGCAAACTAAGAAATGACACATTACCCTAATTACTTGGAATACACAAGTAATACAGAATTACAGAAATAAAATATCCACTTTTAAGAACTGAGGGGCTTTTTTAAAAAAAAAAATTCCTTTTTTTTTCCCAAAGTAAAATAACCCCCAAAACGTATCAGGTAAACTTACCTAATTTAAGCGCTCCAGCAAGGCCACGTATTACAGTAACAGGGTTGTTTGGATTTGTACAAAATTGATGTAAAGGTGGAAAGAAAGCATCTCGTTTATTTTCCAACTGTAAAATTATAATGGAATATTAGATGTCAGATGAATTTAGTCTCCTTATTTGTAAAATAAGAATGATAAAAAAAAGAAACAACAGAAAAGACAGGAATTTTCTCCATTTCCCTGTGCTGCGGGGAATGAACAGCTACATCACACAACCCTTTTCATGTTAAAAGCTGGGTTTCACTCCTGCAATTAATTTGTTACTGCAATTTATTTCTTGGCATGAATTATTCCCAGGCTGCTTTGGCTTTTGCAACTCAGGTTTCCTGCAGTTTATTTCTTTATCTGACAGTAGCCTTGTACCTTCCCTAAATCTACAGAATTCTCAGAAGAGCAAGATAATACACTAACTTCCTTTTCAGAAGTCAAAAAAGCTAAGTCTATAGAAAATGTATACAAGAAACAGTACAATTAAAGACTCCTCTCACAGGATCTCTCATGTTAACCAGAAAGGTTGGTCTATGATCTTGATTTTATGTTACAGTCTATCCCATTATTTTTTTCTTTTTAATTGTTGTGAATCTTTTATAATGCTGAAGATGTGTCTTTCAATAAACAAAACACAACACCGAGTTCCCAAATACTGGGACCCACACTGTCCTACCTGCACAGTACGCTGCAGCATGGTAACTTACCAGTTTTGTACAGACTCGAGAAAGCTGTGGCGGACTTTTAGTAAGGCAGATCAATTCAGATGCAACACCTGGAGACAGCTGGAAGCTCTATTGCTTCCAACTTAGCCTAGCTCTCAAGCAGGATGCTTGTGTAGTATCAGACCAAAGTGCCAACCGCTTCCGGTCCCCAAGCTGTGCAGACCAAAGCTAACTTTGAGGTTTTCACACTGGTTGTATGGACATACTATAATTTATTTTTCTATTACTAAGGGAGTTAGCTCAAACTCTTCATAAAGCTATTATGAAACTTGATTTCCATAACAGAAGCTTTAATGGTTGTGTAAGAAAATACTATGCACCTAAAACCTGCTCTTTCCTAAAGACATTTTGTTCTTAACATCACCTCAACTTTTATTAATTTTTTCTTCGCTAGATTTTGAAGTAGCTTGTTAGGACAACTTAGTTTAATTACTTATTCATTTATATCTAAGCTGTAACTTGGCAAAACACGTACATATATAATTGAAATATTGTGCATTGTATCTAATGAACTGTTTTGCTTCTCCTGCCAATATTATGACTATTAAAAACAAACAAACAAAAATCTGAAACTATTTTTCCTTTCGTTTACAGAAATTCTTAATTTACAAGTACTTTAGGAGTCAAAGTATGTCTCGAAATTTTCTTCAAGGTTAACATCTTCCCCACTTACAAGCTAGCTGGGAGAACACTGTCATTCAGCTGTGAATAGTGCATCTTTAAAATAATTACATTATGTAATTCAGAGATCCAAACAATCACAAAAGACAGGCAGCAATGCACTTCTACCATTAGATTTACTTACATAAATACTAGGTGTAGGTGGATTCAGCTTGTCCTTTGGCAAGGGAGGGTATGGTGGAGGCGGTGGTCGTGGAGGTGGGCATTTATCCAATAGAATACTACTGTTAGATAAGCCATTTTTACCCAGATTCCTAAAAGGAAAGAAGAGCTGCCTCTGTCAATACTTGACAAATAAATACATATTAGTGCCATCTCTTCTGCAAAATAATGATGTATAAGGAGAAACCGTAATTCAAGATGCAAATAAAACTTGTATATTTTGATCAAGAATTCTCAGTGTATGGTTTGATATTATTCAAAATAATTCTCACTTTGCCTGCCAAATCTGCAACATCATCACTACCAGTTAAAAAAACAGCCCTTATAAATAAAAGGAAGTATGACTCATTTGACAAAATTTAACAGAGAAAGCAGGTTTCAACTAGAAACAGAGAAGAACGTTACTAGGTTGGTGCAGGCTGGTGGAGGATTGACTCACATCAGCCGAGATAACGCAGTCAGGTAATGCTGAGTGTGGCACTGGCAGAGCACAAAGGCAGAAAACGACAATGCTTCAACCAAAAAACCTGCTGAGACAAAAAAAAAAAAACCAAAAAACCCCACACCCAAACTACTACAACTACACTAACCACTAAACTAAACCACCACGTGCCCCTCTCCGATTTACACACTGTGAAGCCACAAGGAGCCACTGCTGCGTAATCTGGTTGTTTGAGCAAGAGAGGACAGGACCTACCCAAGAGCGAGTTGCTGTGTCAACACCTGTACTGGTACCCGAGCTAGAACCTCGCCTGTTGTATTTGCCAGCCTTTCCCTGGAGATTTCCAGACGTGGATAACCCACTGTACGCATCCAATCTTTTCCTGTAATGAGCCACCTGAAAAATCTCCATTCTGAGCTTATCTTACATTCAATTTCCAGTCATCAGGAAGGTATTTATTAGCAAAACCATCCCTTCAATTTATCTTTGTTAAAAAGGACTCAACTACTTCAAAATTCCTCCAGCTAAACACTATTCAAATCCTTCTTCTAGCCTCGCTGGATTCACTGGCTGTTGTTACCACCTCTCAACACCCCACAAAATGGGACGCTCCTAACGCATAATTCAGTCACGTATCATCATAAAATCCACCGCTTAACAAAGAAGTAGTTCTGGTAACTACAGACTTCAGCTCAGAGCACGGCTGCTTTACGTTAGGTGACACTCCCAGCAACAGAGCTTGTCTCTAAAACACAAAAACTGGCACCAAGAAACATCGTAGAGCTGGACGCTGGCATGTGAGAACACTGCTCCCAGTCAAGCTACCACGATCCATGAGTAAGATGGGCTTGGGGCCTGAGATCAGATGAGACTGTTAGGGGAAACACTGTCAAGAAAATGAGTAAACGTCTCACCTACCCCAGGCAGCAGCAAAGACGAGCACCCTGACAAACTGGTGCTCATCACGACAAACAAGCCCGTCACTCAGTCCAGAACTTATGCCAGCTTTCTAACCCATATGTGCCTCTCCTCCGACAGGAGATCAGAGCAGTACAGACAGAGACATATTTAACAACTGCCTCCAAAGCATGCCTGTCAAAATACCAAACACAGCTTATGCCTAGTGCGAGGCGAGTGTAATGCCAGAATAGATTGCAACTTCCAAGAAACTCAAAGAGCAATGTGGGAGCTTTGATTAGGCACCATCCAACTTGGCAAAAAACCTCACTGACCAATGCTTAATGTCTGACGTAGTTCGGACGTTTCTAGTTCAGACTATTGCGCACCGCTCTGTGTGTGTCCCACCCCCTGCCCGTCATCAGAAAAACAACATGGCAATATAAAATCACCATCACCCAAAGAAATTTATCAACCACAGTTGCATGAATCTGAGATTCAGACCATCTATACAAAGTGAAACTATAATCTAAAGAGCAGGTATTAGAAGTAACTATAATCTCTGTATTACCAAACTGAAAAATGGAACCAAGAAAAGAAAATGCACAGTATTAAAAATCAAAGCGAACAATGACAGAATTCAGTGTGAATTGGCAGTTTTCAGGTGATTTCTGAGACAAAGAAGGTGAGAAAGACTGAACCTGAAGAAAAAAGGACGTTGCTCAGAACTAGCATGACTTAAGCTACTGGAGTCATGACAACATAATTACCATGGTGAAAGCTTGGTAAAGCCAGGTTATGTGGGTCTTCAGGGAAGGGGACAACAGAGAAGGGAAAAATTCTGTACACTTAGAAAAATTACAGGTCTGAAAAGGCAAAGGAGATACAGAAGAAAGCAGGCAGTACAGAGGGAAATATCAGATCAACAGCGCTAGCTTATAAACCCAGCACCTGTACCTGATACTACCAAATGTATGCCCCGCAGTTTCTTATTAGGTTACTAAAACCCTGTGTGGAAATTTCAAGAGAGGAAAAGGGCCAAAGGAAAGCAAAGCTGAGATAGGAAAACACTTGTCATTCAAGAGGAACAGGAAACAGATGGGCAGAATATTTGAAGTTATCTTTAACGGACAAGTTTCACTCTATCATCTTTTTTTTGACTATGAATCAGAACAACTTACTATTAATAACAATGCAAGAGAGCTATTAAAGACTAACACTTCAATTGATAGTGTGCAAAACAGAGCAACGGAAATCATAAAAACCACCACAGAAGTACTAAGAAGATTTGCTACCGGCACCTGTGATGAAGCAGCATGAGTATCCACTGCCGGCCTCTTCGCCTCTGGAAATACAGCACTACAGCCTGTGCAAGGAAAGTGACAGTCCCCTTGTGACCACAGCCACGGAGGAGAAAACCTCACGTAGCTCTGTTTCAAGAGCGTATTTTTTGTACAAGGATTTTATACCAGCTGAAAGAGGACACAGATGCAATGCTTGAGAAAAAAACAAGCCTGATTTAGGCCCCAAAAAGAAACTGGATGCCCAAATAGCACCTACTAGACGCAATGAGGGCATGAAGGACAGGCTTCATTCACTTAAACTGACTTTCCAGAGGGAATCTGCGCAGGCAGAAGAACACCCACCATTCCCGCCGAGTGGGAAGAGAAGGCAGGAGCAGCTGTCAGCCCCATAAAGGAAAGGACAGGGGTGCTCACTGATGTGCAGCACTGTCCTGAGCCAAAGCTGCAGCTCAGTCCACTGCGATTTGCTCGGGGAGTAAAACCAACGACCCCTCACGTAACTGCTTTACTCTGGGGACCAAACTCCAACTGCTTATGAGTGACACCAACCACTATGGATGGAATAGGTGCATCGATTTCATGTAATTATGGGATCTCTTGAATAATCAATCACCACGTTCATTGAGAGATCCCTTTTTCCCATTTTACTGCTTTCTAGGATACATTACCCAACCCACCTAAAAAACAGTTTACAGCCTTCAAGTCTCAGAGAACAACTTCCTCTCCGGCTGTACCAACCCACAGTTGACTAGAAGCAGAGGTGTGACCCAGTTTGCTTCACAACAGTCACTCGTCTCTGCATTACATAGCACTCAGCCTGTGCTTTGAGCAAACAAACACAAATAATTTAATGTTACCTAGGGATTTCTTGACAAACAGAGATGATGGCTTAGCTTGAGATGTTGCCTTCATCCATCTACCACCCTTCTTCCCTCGAAGTTTATCTACATGGACAGACCAGTAGCTTGTTATGCAGCTGGGACATCCCTGCCCCAGGGGAAGATGGATTCCAGCCACTCTTGCCTTAGTGACTCCCCTTGTCAGAGCCCTACACACTATCAAAAACTAAATAAAACAAGACCAAAGTCTGATCCCAAGGCAGTATGACTGAAACATTTACAATTACATAAAACTTAGCAGATAGCTGCTATACACTTCATAGGTACTGTAAGGATTTGTGTCATCCTAGCTGACTAAGGGACTCTGTCTCCTTAAAGGTCTTTTCCAGCCTAAACTATTCTATGATTCTAAAAAAAAGATACCGCGCAAGTTTAATGCCAACTGTGTTACACAGCTGTACTGAACTATTTTATTACACAAACTCAACTATGCCAATAATATAATAGTTAACATGATAGAACTTATTTTCCAAGAACCAGGACTCATTAGCATTAATTACTACCTTGTACATTTATTCAATAAATCAACTCAATAATTTTATTATTCCACTCAAGCCTAGTGTCAGACCTAGAGGATTAGATCTATTTCTCAGAAAGTAGTTCTGTAGTGCTTTTCAAGTTCTCTGGAACTTTTTCTGTTTTTCAAGTACTATTAAAAAAAAACCCAACCTCTACGAATGACAAACAATTCTCCAGCCTGCTCTTTCAGAGCTCAAGGATGCACATGCTACCTGGGCCTCTGACTTAAAAATGCCATATTTAACAACAGTTTAACCGTCTCCTTGATTACTGTGAAAACAGAGAGCATGCTATCATACATCCCATGATGTGAACATCGTATCTGCCTTTTTCCCAAGCACAGAACAAAAATATTTACTGAACTCTCTTGCCTCTATTGACTACTATAATACATCTGTGCAGTCATTAAGCATTAGTGGGTTTTTTTTCCCCGTCTTTTTTATTCTTGGCTAAAGTTTTCCCTTTTCCAAACTTCATTTCTGAGTTTTCTGTAACTCTTAGCTTCAGCACTTTTAAAAATGCTTGCCCTTCTGGCTTTTAATTGGGAGGTTGAGACTCTTTGAGGATAATGACAAGATTCTGAACAATTTCCAATTATCTTTTCACTTGGATTTTAGGTACACTTTATAGGCCAAAACAGAGTAAGTTACAATAATCTGCACCTAAGCAGTTATTTTTGTTGTGAAGTCATTCTGCTTAAGTGAATTATTATTTGAGGATTAGCTGCATGAGAATTAACAAAGTTTTGACACTCAAGAGATTATAGTTACTCTAAACAACAAAATTAATACCCTCTCTTCCCCAAATAAAAATCACATTTAACATGAATATAAGTAACTGCGGATTTATGCAATACTACATCTCAAATCTATCAGAATTAATTGATCTACAAAGATGAATGAACAAAACACTTTAAAACTTCTGTGCCTGCATAAGTAATTGGTTGCAGCACTGGGGTGTACAGTACTTGACCCAGTCCAGATCCAAAACAGAAATCATGGAATGGTTTAGGTTGGAACGGACCTTAAAGA